TGCTCTGGTTGTTGAGAGAGGGTTGAGAAAGGAGGATGAGGGATAGAGATAGGGGATGGGTGAGTGAGTGGCATTAATGAAGCTGGGACGGGGACAACTACGGTTTATATATCCTGCCATGGACTATTGACCGAGGTGTAAAAAACCTCTTTTCACAAAGTAGGTAGTATCTGGACTCTTTCCTAGACAACCCCGTCAATCCTTCTCATCCACCTCACTTCCTCTACTAAGTAAGACATGGCATAATGCCACGACCAATCCATCGCTCATCCATCGCTTGAAGTTGATGACAACCTCACCATAGGACCATAGGTGAGGATCGGAAAACTTTTGCTAGTGTGGCAGGACTGGAGAAGTGGAGGATGGGCAGGATTCGAGAGCGGAAGCCCTTCCCCGCTTGATTCTTCTATTACGTTGGGGGAGAACGCCCGTATAGTAGTATTTGATACCGACGGCGTTTTCGAGCGTTAAGCGAAGTGGAAGCCAAGAACAGTGCTGGCAGCCCTTGGATCCTAGCTAGGTTTCCATAGTTTCTTAGCAGCGCCGAGTCGATAGATCTCACTGTTTTACTCTTGGCGATATCCGCATGTACGAACGCCGACAAGAACATGACGGAGACAGACCTCGGAGACAACAGTGAGTGAATGTGTCCTTTTAAAGACCAGTGAGCGTGTATCTCCTTGCTTCAGGTACCTTTGCCTACCTAGTAAGTTAATTCCCCCTACACAAACGATTTCTAGAGCTAGACGTGGGAAAATCAAGTGTTGCAAAGACGAGCTCCCTTTTTCTTCTAGTAACGAGCGTTAAACGTTGCCTGGAGAAGTCTACACCCCAAGCCACACATGACACACATGCACCAAGTAGGAAGTCCGATTACCTCCTATTTCCAGCTATATACATACAAGTAGGGACCCGCAGACCGCCCCGTTTCTACGATACAGTACATAGATATCGCGTAGTTGTAGATAGATAAGCTTTCCATCCCAAGACATCCTGTTCTGTTCCGCTCCCCCGTGAAATCCCAATATGACCAATATATATACCGTTTTACAAAACGCTATTTTACACTACCGGTTCTTCTTCCTCTTCGCCTTTACAGGTCAGCAAGATCCTTCCACTTGACCCTCTTCTCCTTCTTTGCCTTTGTCTTCTTCTCTGAGGATGACAACGCCGACAATGCGGACAGCGCCGTCTTCGATAATGGTGGTTCAACGCCGCCGGCTTTTTCCTCCTTTGTCTTTATTTCTTGATTTGATGATGATGATTTTGTGGGTGTCTGTTGTGTCGGTGGTGTTGTTGTAGGTGGCGGTGGTAATGTCTTCTGCGCTTCTGCGGGTACTGGTGTTTCAGTTGGCTTGTTAGGTGTCCTTGATGAGCTTGAGATTGCTGCCTTCTTTTCTTCATCATTTTTTGCAGTAACCTTCTTCGACCTAGAAGAAGAATAAGAAGGCTTGGTCTTAGCCACCACCCCCGCCGTCGTTGCCGCCTCTTCAAGCACGACATTGGCGTTGTTCTTCGCAGCAAAACCACCACCACCACCACCAAACCACTTATCCAAAGCCTGCCTCCTAATCGCCTCCTGCACCTCACCAACCTTCGCATCCGCATCCCCCACGTCACGACCACTCTTCCTACGCTCCTTCCTTGTCGATACCTCCCTTTCCCTCTTTGTCGTCATCCCACCGGCGGCAGCGGAGGCCCTCCGTTCAAGTAGTTCCCGTCTAGTACTAGTATACTTGAATAACTTGCCCACTTCCTCAAAGGCCGGTTCGGTTCTCGGCTTGGTGGGGATTTGGATGGGAGTCATTAGCTCTTTGATGTCGAACCCTAGTTCCGGGTCCCGGAGAGCCAGGTGAAGCTCGCGGTCGCGGTCGAGGGCTTGCACGAGGAGGGAACCGATGGATCCGGATGGGTCGAGGTGGAGGAATTGGGTGGTGAAAGACCAGCGGCGGAAGGAGCCGTAGAGGGCGCCCCATCTTGTTGGTGGTTCTTCGGGCCCTTGGAGCTTGGGGACGTTTGGGTTGGGGGTAAACTCGGATGGGTTGGATGGGCTGGACTCTGACGGTAATGGTGGTGATGTTGATGATGTTGCTGATGGGGTAATTGTTGAGTTAGACTCATCCGAAAGCTGAGACTGGAACCAATCCCCCAACGAGGTCGGCATCTCACCATCCCGTTCGGCGGCGGCCATCTCTTCCATCTCCCGCTGGCGTTCCTGCTCTCCCTTGGCCATGCCAGCCATAACCTTCCCCCATGTCTCCTCACCGCCATTGGCCTGAATAAACTCGCCCAGCAAGAGATTTCTCAGAAACTGCACCCTCTCCTCATCCCCGAGCTTAAGTCTCCTCACCAACTTCTCCTTCTTCAGTTCCGTCTCGTCCATCGCCATCATTGCAATCCCCCTCCGCCGCATATCGGAGCTCGTAGCGTTGACCAGGTGGGCATACCGCCAGATGGTGCTCAACACGTGCGGCTTCTTTTGCCAAAGTGCCATGTCGAAGAGCATGTCGCAAGCCATAGTATCCAGCTTCAACGGCGGCCGCGGCTTTTCGCTGCTGCTGCTGTTGCTGCTGACGGCGTTGTACCTCTCAAACAGCTGGATGAACTCGACCGCCAAATCCAGCTTCTTCTGCGCCTTGCAGTGGGCGAGTATGGTGTTGACCGTGACCTGGTCCGGGTACGCAACCAGCTTTTTGCCGGTGAAGATCAGATCGAGCAGCTCGCGGATCTCGGCGAACTTGGAGTAGGACCCGAACACGTGGATGATCTTGTTGATGACGTCGATAGACACCCAGTTCCGCTCGCCGCCGCCGCCGTAGAGCTCGTCCTGCTTGGCCAAAAAGGTGGGCACGTCCCATCGCAGCTGGACGGCGCGGTACGCGTCGTGGGGAGCCATTTCGTTGGCGATCATGCGCGGGGTGCCGTGCGCGTTGAACAGGCCCCTGTCGTTCATGGCTTGCAGGACGTAGCGCTTGACTTCTTCTGCTTCGAACATGCGCAGGGCCAGAATCCAGGTGCGCAGGTTGGGCTGGTACCCGCTCGTGGCCATCAGGTATAGAACCCAGTTGAAGCGGTACAGCGAGCGGGTCTTGACGGCGGCCTCGGCGAGGATGTTGAACACTTCGACGTCGAGCTGCAGCATGCGTCCTCTTTGGGCGTAGTTGAAAAGCGAAAGCATCTCGGGCCGCCAGGTCTCGCCGCCGCGGGTCATGTAGTGCAGGGCCATCTTGAAGGCGGCGTTGGAGACGAACGGGGCGGCGCTTTCGTCGTTGAAGACGGCGACAAGCTGTTGGATGACGGCCATTTCGTGCCGGCCGTGCTCGGGGTAGAGCTTGGAGGCCAGGCCGGACGGCATGTGGGACTTGATCAGGGCGTCGACGTACTCCTCAAAGGTCTTGCGGGTCCATTCTTCCGGCTTGGGGAACTCGTCGGCGCGGATATTCACGTTGTAAGGCGCCCGCGAAGAGGGTATGCGGCGGGCGGAAACGACCACGCTGGGTGCGGGGAGGGAGAGGTCTTCGCCGTCTACTTTGCCGTCCCAGAGCACCTCCTCCGTGTCTCGGGTCCGGGAGATGATGGTGACTTTTCTTGTCACGCTCAAGATCTCGTCGATTGCGGTGTTCACCGAGTGGTGGTGGCCGTCAATGATCAAGTACGGGTCGTCGTCCTCAGTCCCTACCTCATAACCGGCGTCCCCAACCCTGTATAGCACCATCCCGCAGCCGGTCCGAGACTTGATATCCCACATGCTGTACTCGCTGTCGGACAATAGCCGGGTGGCGGTCTCGCGGGGTATAATCACCTTGACGGTGTCGGCGAACTGCTCGGGCAGGTGTCTGGGTGTCCATTGGAGGAGGTTTCGGAGGGTGGCGCGCCAATCTACCCGGTTGGTAGACTCTCTCGTTCCCAACAGCTTCTTTTGGCGGGCATTGTCCTTCATGTGTGTCCTCACGCTCCCTCGTGCCTCGTACTGGTCGGGATATTCGGTAACGGGTCTGACGAAGACGGATTCGAGCGCGGGATGGGCTCGGACCGGAAACTCGGCTAGACGGTTGACCAGACTGGGGCCTCGAGCTCGCTTAGGTTTGGCCGGAGATAAATGGTACTCGTAGTCTTGGACGTTCCATGCTCGTATTTGAGCTTGTTGTTCTTGAGCTTCTCGGGGCGGTGGTTGTGATGATGCTCGTGATGGTTCTGTTGGTGTTTGTTCGGCGGCGGGGGCGGGGTATTCACCAGAGTCGTGTACCTCAGTAATAGCATCATCCTGCCGGCGCACCTTGGGTTCGGCCTCGGCCTCGAACTCGTCTTCGTCAGGGTCAGGTTGAGACTGTTGGTCGCAAAGAGGCGGCAACTTGGGGCTGTGGTGGAGGGCGCGAAGAGTAGATCTGGTGGTGGTGGTGGTGGTGGAGCTGCTCTAGCTGCTAGTGCTGGGGTACACTCCCTAGGAATCAGGGAGAGCCCGCGAGCGCCATTGGAATTCGACAAGACTCTCCATAGCTGTTTGACTCCCAGGGACATTGGCTATAACACGGGCATTTCCGTACGGCGCTTTCCTCGCGGCCGCCGTGGTTGATCGTGGTTCGGAGTTGTTGTCGCGTTGCGCTGGTTTCGGGGGTGGTAGGGTACTGCTACTTCGTCTGCCTATGTGGTTGTCGCGGGATTTCGGTGATCGTAGTCAGGTGGTAAGTATGGTCGTATTATCAATCCCGTCTCGGTCGGCTATGTAGACTCGGAAAAAGGACCGTGGAGAAGATGCGTGGCCAAAGAGTGACTGAAATCGGAAAGAGTTGAGAGGTATCGGCGAGCACGGGCCACTCTTGATGTTCTTCAAAAGCGCGGGATGCTTTTCAAAAATTTGGCTCAATTCCGTCTCCTCCATCGGGCCCGGTCCATTTTCCCCACTTTCTCCCGCGGGACTTGCAACGGCATGGGCTCGGCCTGCGGTGGATTCGTCCGGACATCACGGCTTGTCTCCATCACTGCACTTGCCAGTCAACAAACCCCCCTTTTTGTTCGTTCAAGATTCATAGTGATACTAATAGAGATATAGTAACCAAAAAAAAAAAAAAAAAAAAAAAAAGACTAACGCATAACATGCTTCGCTCTTAGCACGCTGGCTGGCTGGCTTTTCAGTACACTGCACTAGATATTACCTCCTCGAGACTCCCATTAGATTACCATTCACCAGATATTACCCCGAAAAGATATCCAGCACCCCGGTCCACTGTCCACCCCCCTTGGCTCTCTCCTCCCAATACCCTTCCTTCCCGCCCTTCAACTTCCACACCTCGTCGCCATCCTGGCCCGTAGCCACCTTGACGAACCACTTCGGCTTATACTCCTCTCCTCTCTCCTCCATCTCCTTTCTCCTCTGTCTCTGCGCCTCCTCCAGTTTGACCTTCCACTCCTCAGCAGAATCCAAATCGCCTTGCTCGTGGAACCGCTGATCGGGACGCAGCCTGCTGTCCGTAGGCGGCAGCTTGCCCTTCTCCAATGGCGTGATCTCGTTGAGCGACGCGGCGAAGGTGGTAAGACCGTACGTGTTCGCGGCGTTGGGAACGAGACTGCCCGCCTTCCAGATCTCCTTGCCTCCGGGGGCCGTCTTGAGACTGCTCGTCCAAGTGCCCGTGAGCGTCTGGCCGGTGTTGGACCCATCGGGCCCGAACGTCTCGACATGGACTTCCTCGCCTCGGCCACCGAACATGCCCTTGGACGAGCGGAACTCGACGACGGCCTTGGCGCCTGAAGTCTCGTTGTTGACGTTCATGCTGCCGACTGGCTCGACGTACTTCTCGCCGTAGACGACGTTGCGAAGGAAGACGGTGGCGATGTGCCAGCTGTAGAGCTCGTCGGTGCCGTCGGGGAGATGCAGGCTCACGCGCACACGGCCTTCAGTAGTGATTTCAGCGCTCTTGCCCCAGAACTTCTGGGAAGGAGCGGGAGACTGGGAGAAAGACCAGAGAGCACTGTCGGCTTGCACGGCGAGGCGGACAGGGCGGTGAGACACCTTCTCGACAAGCACTCTAAACCCGCCGGGCACTTCGTTCTCGGAGCGCACCAGTTCGTAGGTCTCACCCAATAGAGGGTTGAAGGGCTTGCGCGTAGCACGCTCCTTGGCACGACCGTTGCTGAACTGAGAGACAGCAAAGGCAGTGACATACAGAAGACGCTCCTTGGCGTCAGTCTTCTTGGCAGCCTCCGTGAGAAGTTGACCATACTCAAGCTGTTCCGCCATGCGCTGGCACAGTGACAAAGGTTCGTTTGCAGAAACAGGCATACTGATCGTACTAAGATCCTTGCCCACGTTCTTGCGGACGAACGCGATGAGACTGGGAGGCGGCACCTTGGCAGCAGGAATAGTCGTACGCCTGGTGACCGTATCTGTGATAGGCAATGGCGCAAGAGACTTCGGCTTGACGGGGAACAGACTGTCATGGTTCTCTGTACCGACACCTTCAAACTCCTCCTCTTCCTCGACCGAAGAAACTGATGAAGAGTCGTGAATATCGACCTCCTCCGCGTCTGAGCCAGGCGTGTCCTCTTCGCTCTGACGAATGATCATAACTTGGTTCTGTCCCCCGGCGCCCGTCTCACCAGCCTCAGCGTCAAAGAACTCATCAATAGTAGACGTAGTAGACTCGTAGCTCTTTCTAGATGCCGCGGGCATCATGTTAGGGGGCATCATCTGCGTGGGGAGTCTTCGGCGCTTATTCTTAGACAGCAACTGTGAAAACTCCATGACAACAGAATCCAAATCGCTCAAGAGAGCCGCGCAATTATCGTAGGTGTTCCGTTCCTCGCCGGCGCCGCCATTAACGGCCGTCGCACTGGTTGGCGACGGCACCGCCAGCGCAGTTCCATTCGCCGCCTGAACGCCTGGTTGCGCACCCGGGGAAGCACTGCTGGTCTTGCGCTTCCAGAACGGCCTGCGTGGTTCCGTTGAGGGAGTGAAATAGGTCTCTGAGTCCTCCGCAATCGTTGGCGTATTAGGTGAGAGCAACGAGGCCTGACTCACAAGAGGCCCCTGCTTCTCGGCAGCCATATCCTTAACCAGCCGTCTGAGAGCATCTCTTGTTCCTGCCATTCTGCTAACCAAGGACTCAACCTGCGCCCATTCTCTTTCGTCCTCCTGCTGTGCGCTGGGTACGCTGGTGGAGGGTCGCGAAGCCGGTCTGTCAACGCCGAGGGATGCGCCGTTGTTGAGGGTCTCCAGACCGCGGGCAATGCGACTGGCCTTTTCCAGAGCCTTGGCCCAGTCGTTGAATTCCTTCGGACCAGACGCTTTCAAGTGCCAGATCTCGGCGCCAGAATCGATAGTAATCTCGCGCCGTCTCTCGTCAGCGGCAATGGCGGCCAAGCTCAAGGGGATAGCTCCTCTCAGGGCAGACGAGTTGCGGTTGTGATAGTATGATAGCGTGCAGGTCGTGAAGTCGAGGGAGAAGAAGCGCCTGGCAAAACCTTGGCCCTTCTTGCGACGTCTCTTGAGCAGTACACCGACGTGGTAAGTGGCGCCCGGTACAAATCCGCCTTCGCTCCTCGCGTTCGAGACTGCACGGCTGCGACCACCGGCGACATGGCTGTGTAGACTATCGACCGAGTCGGAGTTGGCGGCGCCAATTCGTGGAGTAGCACCGGCTCCAAGACTTGTTCTGCTGGCATTGGAGCCGGACCCTGCTTGTACGGTAGGCAGATGGTGGGCAGTCTGGGGTGGAGCGCCGGTCGGGTATGTCAGGAGGACGAAGGTGGCCGTCTTGGACGTCTGCTTGGAGAAGGTGTTGTCGAAGACGAGACCGTACATGCCAGCACTGGTGACATCGTATGTTCCCACTGTAACCTTGTCGGCCTCGCATTTGCCGTGCCATTTGATGGGTATGAAGCCTTTCTTGGCGAGCTGATCTTGCGCTGTGCTGGCATCTCTCCTGAACAGGCCTGTTTTTGCATCGGAGACGACGGCCTCGGTGGGCGGGTTTTCGGGGGTGGCGGTGGCCTCGAAGGTCTGGGAGCCGGCAGCTGTACCGCCAGTTCCTGGGTGCTTAACAATGGCGAAGTTTCTGTGGTTGTGTTGGTTTGCAATGGTCAGCGAATTGTTCCGAGCTGGAGCGAGTCGGTGAAGAGGGACGAGACGGGGAGGTGTTATGGGATTTGTAGGTATTCGTACATGGACTTCTTGTGTGGTTGAACACTCCATGATATCGTGTGGCCTTCCTCGACCTTGACCCATCGCACAATGTAGGACTATAGGGGGTGAAGAGTGATTCGTCGGTCAGCAACTCCCATTCGCAAAGTATATATGTAGAAGCTTAGCTTGGACATGGTCAGGGAGCGTACCTTGCTGTGAATCTCGAGCTGCTCGATGCCCGCCATGGTTGTAGACTTGCGATCAGGAGCTTAAGTGTCGTACTATATATGGCCGCGTATGCAGGTAAAGGGTATAGCTCGGACGAATCGTCAATGCGATAGTGAGGATGGATGCGGAAGTCGAGGTCTGATCGTGATGCCCTGTAGGTAGGTGCAATCGGTTGTAGGAGGTTCGAGCTGTTTGTTAGTGTAGCCTCCCTGCCTGTCCGCCTCTTCAAGCAGTCGCGTTGAGGATTGCAGAGTCGGAGACGGAGGTTCCTTGATCAATGGATGGGTTGGTGATGGAAGCGACCCATTAGCCAAAGATCCAATGCGGTGTTATGGGACTAGGGGTCTTGTTGATGTTGTGCGATCGAAAGGAGGGAAAAGGTGGTGAAGGTCGGGGAGAGAGGTTGGGACCACGTTCGGTTCGGGGGATGTCAGCGGCAGCAGTGGCAGTGACAGCGCGGACAGGCAGTGCCTTTTCGGTCAGACAGCAGGAACCCGTAGACGGTACCTTGGAGCGGAGCCTTGGAATTATCGTAGAGGTACATCCAGTACTAGTGTGTCTGTTAGTTTGCTACTCATAGAATGTCGTCCCAAAGCTCAAAGTCAATAAATTTAGCTTGGAATGGCTCTGAGAGCAATTTAAAGGATTCTATATAGTCTGCTCAAAGCAGGAGCACACTTCTAGCATAGAAGAAAACCACTAGGTTAGATAGAAAGCCACCTAGCAAGTCAACTCAAGGTTTCAAGCTAACACTAACCCAACCACGGGCAGTACTGGAGCAAAGTCCACAACTAAGTGCGCCCTGGCAACCAACAGGGGCATTCCCTTCTTGCCCGTCTTGCCCGTCTTGCCCGCTCATCAATTGTGTTCAGGAACTTCCACTTCAGAGTTCAGACCGCCTGCTCTGTGCTGGTGGTTGCCGGCGCTGAAGAACATTCCACCTCAGGGTCAGGGGGAAACAAAACAATGGAACCCACCTCACCTCATGGAACCCTGACCGGAGCTCCCGCCCCGACAGTGGGCAATATGGAATCGGCCATTTCATGCAACCTCCGATTGCCGTCCGTCGCCGCCCGGCCCGCTGGCCTTACCGTTCTCACGGCTTCCGGGGGTTTGTACATTGCATCTGCAAATCTCGCACTGAGAAACATGGCATACCGTGATGCATGGCCACCCCAACGGCCCTGCCACGTTGGATGGCAGGTTGCCTAGCGCTCAGCCTTATAACAGCACAGCTTACACTACATGATCCTATGGCTTTCATTGGTCAGAAATGGGCTGTTAAGTGTCGGCAATCTCGGCATTTGTGCTGTCATCTGTCATCCTATGTTCGGTCTTTTTGCGCCCGTTTTGTTTCCGAACTTTCGAACGGTTCGGTGTTTTGCTGGGACTTACTATCACCGAATTTGACCACATGTCTTTTTTATCTATTTCTAGTAGTTTGATAGTGATTGATAATTTGCTAGTCCTCCTTTCCACGTATAGGCACGATGAGGTCACGAATTGCTTTCGATGGACAGAGAAACCTGTTGGAACGACTTTCTCGGTTACCTATTGCCAAGGCATCCGATGTCTTGAGTTGTAAACGAGCATTGGCACATCAAGACGATGGAACTTCGAGGGTAAGGAAACAATGTCCAATCATTCCAAGCCATGCTAGATATGTACAGTGGTCCTTTTTCTGCGAGGCGGATAAAGTAACTATATAAATCGATAAAGTAATCGTGTCTAACCAAAAGGAGCTGTACCTAGCACTTTGGCTGTTCTGGACGGCCATCAGGCATCAACCATTTTTGTCAACACCACTGCCGGCGTTTTGAAAGTGCTCCGGAAGCATACAATGAGAGTTGCGATAATTCACTTCTATTTCTATACTCTGCGACCGTTTTGGTGAAGTTTTTTTTTTTTTTGGCGAAAAGCGCCGATGGAGGTATCCATCCGCGTACGACCGCGCTCTTAATGTTAGTATGAGTAGCAGCTTTGACACCCCGATACCCTTGAAAATGAAAGGGGAGGAAACGATTAATGTGAGACTCTCTTTCCTTGGAAGAGGAAGCACCGATTTATCTCCCTCAACGTCCATTCAGTGTCGCTGTGGTTGTCGTGGTGGTTTTGTCTTTGTGGCCCCTTTTGGTTAGATACCACTACTTTATCAGATCACAGTTACTTTATCTGCCTCGTTTTTTTTTGCAACTCTTCATTACTATACTTCAAAACTTACGTTGTTCTCCCTGTCAACCATTCAATAACCATATCGGCTTTTTGGTAAGGTCTCATGATCCACTACCCCAATCTGATGTAAATACGTAAAAAAGTCCACCCCTCAATGAACAAATGCGCTGCCTCTTCAAAGTCCCCAGACAGAGAGAACGAGACTGTTTTCCATTGCAACCCGAGACCCTATGAACAATCAAGCGAAAACCCATCGAAAACCCAGTCCGTTAATTGCAAATCACGGCCGCATCCGTGATCCCAGACAAGTAACAACACTATCTGCCTCCTGACTGCTGCTTCAACATCTCACTCTGGTACCGGAGCTTGAAGCCGTTGCAGAGGGCTCTAACATCTGGGTACTGGCTCTTCATGAGCTCGAACGCATGAGGGATGACGCGCACAGGCCAGGCGTTGACTCGCGAGTTTCGGCTGGCCTTGAAGCAGAGGAAGAAGTAACCGGGGTGCTTGGTGTCGATGCAGAATGCGTATGTCGACCGGTTGGGGTTGGCGTCCATGTAGGTGGTGAGCCATTTCTCTGTTAATGATGGTCAGCATCTGGGTTATGAACAAGATCAATGAGCAGTTGAACTTACCAGTCTCATTACGGGAGCCCTTCTGGAACTTATCGCACTGCATGAGCTCATCCACCTTCTTGGCCATGGCCTTGACGTGGTCCACAATCAACTCGTCCAGATCCTGGTATGTGTACTTGCCCACGCGGAGGACACGGCCGACAGCGAACTCATTCTCCTTCTGCAACTCGAGCACGTCGACATGCTGGAACACACCATCCGCCACCTTCCAGGTGATGGCGAGGTGATCGTTACCTTTACTAGAAGGTCGGATAACAACCTCGCCAGACGGCTGACTGCCCAGATACTCCTCGGCCTGCGTGCTGTTGAAGGGCTTGAATAGAGGATGGTTGACCACTCTCTGTGCACGGCCCGTGGTCTTGTCCTTCTCGCGAAGCTCCTCCCTGTCCTCATCCTCCCTCCTGTAATCCCACTGATCGCGACCGTGGTCAAAGTGCCTGCGGAATGGTCGCCTCATTTCTTCATCCCTCATTGAGAGTTTGCTCACAAACTCCTTGCGGTTGAGATCAATGAGCTTGGCCTGAACGACTTGCCCAACGTGGAGCACATCCTTAATGGAGTGGCGATACGAAACATCGTGAGACTCAATGCGTCCCTCAATGCCGCAGTCCAGCTTGACAATAGCAAAGTCATCCTTCACTACGCGAACATTGGCCGCCACAATCATGCCCTCGCAGAGCGAGTCGCGGTTCTCACCGGTGAGCATGGTGAAGACCTGGTCAACGGTTAGGCTCTCAAACTTCTTGCGAAGCTCCTCGTACGGAACCTGCAACTCAGCCCGGATAGTCTCGAGAGTTGCACGCTTGCGCTGTTGGTACTCGCGTTCTAGCTGCTCCGCATATTCCTCTAGGATGAGCTCGTTGACCTTGTCCTGCTCATCATCCTTGAAGAGCTTGCGAACAATCGCACCAGCACCGTTCTCGTCAGTTTCGGCCTTGACATCCTCCTCGTCCAAGCCCAATGCATCGGCTGCCACCTTCCGGGCAAGATCGTAGTCCTCAGGATGGATACGCGTGTTGTCTAGCGGGTCGGACTCAGGGTTCGTAGGCTCGTACTCGATGAAAAGGAAACTGGCGCAGTTGTTCCACACGCGAGGGCCAAGGACCGGAAGCTTGTGTCGCTCGGGGTCACCGACAAGCTCGTCACGCGAGGTGACAACGCCGCCGTTCTTGTTGATACCCTTAATGAGCAGTTGTGCTTTACGAGGACCAAGACCAGCGACATAGGGAAGAAGATGCGCGGTATTAGCGTCCTGCATCGCCACGTTGATGTCGACACCGACGAGGTTGACCATGTCGACCATGGCCGTCTCGAGGTGCTTGAGCAGCCTTGCTTGAGGAAGGTACTGCTGGTAGGGGTGAATTTGAAGAGAGGTGACATCCTTGCCAAGGGCCGCATACTCCTTCATGGGGTTCTGCATATATCTAGCCAGAGCAATGCAGTACCTGGTCATTGGGTGGAGGCTCGGGTGATCTGAAACCGCACGAGGGCTGTCCTTGTACAACCGGGCGACCTCATCGTTGATGACAATCACCTCGAGCAGGTCAGAGCGGTACTCGTTTGTCTCCGGGTCATCGTACTCAGGGCCGACCAGTCCCTTTTCACTGACAAGACCCTCAACATCCTTGATGAGACGGTGTGTGTCGGCTGAGAAACCAGAGATGCCAATAACATCAGGTTGCCGACGCCTGACTAGCTCAGCCAAAGCCTCACGCTGACTCTCATCACGAGCCAAGTTGGTAAAGGTGCCGTGTTCGAGGATCCTTCCATCTTCATCCATCGAGACCCAGGATACAGGTTCACGGTTGGGGTCGCCCATGCCATTCGACAGAACGAGCACACGGGGAGTCGTGCCGATAACCATACCTTTAGGCTTGTAAGGGGCTTGATCCAGCCTCTTAAAGTAGAGCTCACGGCAGGTTTTGAGCAGCTCATCTTGGCACGCCGTCCGCAAGGAGTCTTTCACACCCTTGACAATGACCTTTACCAGCTTGTCGAAGGCCAAATCGATCACCTTTTGACGTTGCTCATTCCACTTGTCGGCAAGCTCGCTGAAGTTCTCCGAGGCAAAGTCACTGAAAAGTTGTTGCCTGAATTCCTTGTCGTTTTCCAGCGAAACCTTGATTTCGATGAGGCCCTCTTCCTCTGCCTTCATCATCTTGAGGAAGAGCTCCGGTCGAACCGCAAGATCGGCGATGCTCATGTTTTTGAGATACTTGACCTCGTAGTAAGGATTCGCCTCGTCGATCTTGCGTAGACCCTTATCAGTACGACGGCAGCTTACAATACCCATGCCGTAGAAAGTTTTTCCTGAAGTGCTTGCGCATCCGAGGACTGGCAAACATCTCTTCGGCAAGCATCTGGCGAGCGGCGTTGATGACCTGCTCGCCGGTCGGGAAATCAGCGTCTACCAAGGCGTCGGCGAGATCATCCGGTAGTCTTGAATCGTCTTCTGAGGTCACCTTCTTGCTTTCGCGCAGAATGTTCTTCGCAAGACGATCAGGCGTTATTCCGAGTGCCTGAACAAACTTGTAGGCACTGGATCGCCGAATGCGTTCAAACTGAGCTGTCCTGCCACCGGCCCTCTTGATTTCACGCTGTGCGCTATTATCGTTAGCAGCAAGGTCCTTGAGCTCCGCCGAGTACTGAAAGTTTAGGTAATCTTGGAGATCCTGGAGCTCCTCAATGGTCTGTGCTTGGCGTATCATCTCTTCAAGGGTATCGTCTCGCGTCTTCTCCTTCAGCTTGTCGTAGGTTGACTCTAGCGCGTTACGCTTCTCCAGGAAAGACCGGAACCTAATGTCGAGATCCAGGACCTTCCACAGGTCATCTTGGGTAAGGAGCTTCTCGGCGTCAACGGTATACTCAGGGGCGTCGGGGTCATCGCGGCGGTTCGGGTTGCGCATCTTCTTGGCGTGGATGAGATAGTCTCTTCGGTGCTGGAAAACATAGGGAACCTCGACGCCGTCAATGACGAAGAATTCGAGGACCTTGCCCACAGCCTTGTTGAACGGGCCGTGAAGCTCACTAGAAAGACCCTTGCTTGGTAGCATCAGGTTGCTGATCCACCGAGCCTCTTCCTTGAACTGGTCGGACGTCATTTGGAGATTCTTGAAAGCCTTGCGATCGAGCTGGAAGCGCTCAGGCTCGTCGTTGAACCGAATCTTGTTGTCGTCGTCGGTAAGAAGCTTCTCCTTGAGCTGCGATGGCTCGAAGACATCCTGCAACTCGATATCCTCCTTTGTTCGCTCGGCATGCTCCTGCTCTTCCTCCAGCTGCAAAGCCCATTCGTAGTCTTCGCCATTGCCGAAGATGGCATCCATATCCTCGAGAGCATCCTTGTCGAGGCCGGTTGTGTCAATGTTAAGGCCCCTATCCTTGGGACGAGCAACCTCCTCGTCTTCTTCGCGGTGTCGGCGTTCTTCGTCATCCTCGGGGTAATCGTCTTCGATGAAGTCATCAAACTCGTCCGCTTGAGGGCGGCCGCTGGGACGGCCGTAGCCTCGATCATCGTGCTCTTCGTCTTCGTCGGAGAAGATCTCGGCAAGACCGCGGCGTTCAGTGGGGCGGTGGTCATCCCTATGACCCCGTTTCAGGCGCTTGAACTTGGTTTGCTGGGAAAAGGTGAGCCGACTGGATGATGTCACCGGTGCTGCAGGAGACATACCTGGGGTTGTGGTTTCCGCTCCCACTCAGGGATGGCTTCGCCAATAAGGTCGAGATCCTCTTCGTCAAGCTGCTCCTCCTCTTCGCGCTCCCTACGGCGCTTCTTTCTCCTCCGGCGTTCGCGCGCGTCGGAATCTTCAGCCTCGTCCTCTTCATCTTCGTCTACGATGAAACCTTCGCGGATCTGCAAGTGATGGATGAGTCAGCGTGTTTCCGGTTGGAGGTACGTTGCAGGATTGGACCAGAGGCGGCGTACCTTTCTGGCCTCTTCCTCATCTTCGTCATCTTCCTCCTCTTCGCTGGAATCATCAATATTGGGTCTTCTTCTCGGGCGGTCGCCGGCCTCCTCATCGAAGGACTCATCATCCTCTTCGTCATCGAGCTCGGCCTCGCCGTCAATCAAGTCGCGCATGCTGTTGCTCATGGTTGCGGTTGGTCTGGGTGGCGCAAAGTGGTGTGTAAATGGGTGTGTTTTCGGACAACTCTCGACCGCCTAAGAGGGTCGGAATTGGAAATTGAAGCGTTTCGATGGAAGCAATCGTCTCTGTTGAGCTGCCGATGAAAAAGGAAAGAAGAATACGGGAGGAAGTTTGGTGCAGAGCGAGGTGATTTGGTGGGAAAAGGTGTGGTTTGCAACTGAGAGAGAGGACTGAGTTGACCGTGACTGCCCTGAACCTCTTTGGACCGAAGGCTGCTACTGCGTGCTGGTCGCTCCTGGCCGCCTGCCGCCAGTTCACGTTGGGGCACGCACGTCAATGGGCCCGAATTTTTGGAGCGAGACGGCCAAGGCCCGGCCACCCGCCCCTGTACGCTCCAACTTTTTACGCCACGCGCCACACAACGCGTTCAGCCTCGCCAAGGCCCAGGCCGTAGCAAGTAGCAACTGCAATGAACTGTCACTGCTGTTTCCTCTTGGAAACTCTCACCGCGACTCGCCCAGCATTTCAATTTGGACTGAAACAACACATGGCATGGCCCGTGCACGTCATCAACTTCGAACGTCGAGAAGTTGAAGATATCTCCAGTTACCTGACAGCCTTTCAGTTTGACGAACCTGTTCATCAATTTACCACTTCTCTTATCAGTACGCCACGATGTAACTTCATGGCTTTATATGTCAGCTTCTGAACTAGGCGAGCCCTGTTATTCCTCGACCGTGGCAGTCGGATACACCCAAGCAGTCTGGAGTTCACCCAGGAGTGCCCACAATCAACATGGCAATTGGTGCTGAACCTATACTGGACAAGACGTTGTATAGTCAAGAGTGGTCAACATATCATCGGAACATATGATGCCGTGAACAGCCACCAACACCATCCACACTTAAGAGGGGAGCTGGCAACGGAGCTTTGGCTATGATGTTAGTGCACTGGGCATGTTCATGCGAAGCCATCACGCCGGCCTACGAACATCTCACCCGGCCTTGGACTCTGGGGTCCGTATGGTTCATATACCTGAGGGACGTTCATGCCGCGCATCATGGAACTCACCACTTGACTAGAACCGAGTATCTCTGGTTTCAGATGTTCTTCGGGGTCATGATCCCCCAGCCATCCGCGCTTAGAGCCACCATTTGGGAACCACATATCGAGCCAATCCCTGGCTTCATTCGGACAACAGCCGACTGTTGGTTCTGATGAGGCCCAATCACAACAGTGTTTTGCTTTATTTGGCATCTCATGGCGCGCTTCTTGAGAGCTCTGGGGTTGTACGAACTTGGCGTGCACTGTGCTTGATGTGCTACGGTTAGGCTTTAAGTTGAAGATTGTTTGATCATCAACATGCTGCTTCTTTCACTGACGGACATGAGAGATAGCGATGAGTATATGCATCTCGGGTAAGGGAATCACAAGAGCTTCACATCTCTGCGGCCTACTGGAGATAGATTGTGCTCAAGACGGCAATATTCATATGGCTACTTGGGAATAGCTTCGTCAGGTCTCTTACAATGTCCGCACTGTATCAGGGGGTGCTCTTTCGGCGACAGGTACCCCCCCCCCCCCCCCCCCCCC